GCTGTGCTTAACTGTTTGCTTGACGATAATCTTATTAAGAGTTCATAATACCCTTAACGCACACACACACACACATACACTTAAAGATTCGGCAGGGGTTAAGTAACATTGCCATCATTCTTTCAGTTCAAGCGCCATGGTATGTGAATCTTATTTATTGCGTTGTCTGCCATTGCTGTTGAAGGACATACACGTAGATATTGCACATGTATGTACTAGTATGTGTGTGAAATGTAAGAATTAGTGGATTATGTTGTATATGTACATATTTACCCCTATGCATGTGCTTTGATGTGTCAATTTTTCTTACCACAATTCGAAGTATAAAGTAAAATAGGCATCCAAATTGAGTTTTCTCTTTTTAATTACATTTTGACGGTTACTATGTACCACAACAACTTTGGCCATCATAGCGTGTGCACACTTAAAGCATAGTTCAGTAATTTGTGGTATCTAAATCAGTTTACAAAAACGTCATTAGTGTGCAATAATATCTTCTAGTTTTTATGTATGTACTGAAGGAAATCAATCATTTATTTCATTGTCCTAGCAAACAATGATATCAGCAATTTAGAGGCTCTAATGTGTTACGTTGAAAAGTAGACTGAGCTAAAATATTTTCTTTGTATTCGAAAAGTTTCGTCCCAAAATAATTACAATGACGAGCACAAAATGCTTTTTCGATTTAGACATGAGTTGATTTATTTTAGTTACAATAAACAACTGCGGGAATTTAATCTCATGACTTTTTCTATGTTATATACGAGTACACGTAAAGGATGTTTTTTTGTGTTTTCGACGAAGATATAAAACGTTATATAACTTAATGTTACTGCTAAAAATTTAGCTTAAAGTTTTAAAGATAATAATTCGCCAATATGTTTTAAAAATGATTTCGGCCAAGTGATCAAAAGTATCCTTCAATAAATTGATTCTATCGTTGGTTGTTTGGCATGTAGCGCTGTCTTTGTGGATCCAAAGGCCACCTACCTTCATTTTTAAATCCCTCTGCCCATATAGCAACCGGAATAGTGCTTTTTGGTGGATGTAACGACTTTCCAACAATAGCTTGTGGATTATCATCACTCCAAATGCGACTATTTTATTTATTTACACATTCAATGAAAAGTGAGCTTCATCGCTGAACAAAATTTTCTTGCATTTGCGACAATCAAGACTTGAATTTTATAAGCCCGCAAACCAAAAACCATCCGCAAAATATTCCGTAAAATTTATGTAGTGCGCAATGGCGTAAGTTCTTATTCGAATCCTCTTCAATACTCTGTTCTACAGCAGCAATAGCAGCTTCGGTGCGAAGTGCACGTCGTCTCTGAAGAAGCACATTATCCATTAGAGTAAGGTGTGAAACCGATCGACCTATGGTTGCTTGTATTACCGACGATTATATCAACCGAATATTGGACGCAGCGCGCGATGCATCACGGGAGCCGAATCCTTATTTATGTAATAAATTTGTATCATTTTGAACAAAATAAATCGGTTCATTAAGAAAGGGCAAGCCACTCTGACTACAAATCATCTAACAGCTGTCACAACGACCACCTCCGAAAAAGTTTTGCCTCATTGAAAGCCGCACGTCAAACAAAAAACAAAAAACACTCCTTACTAAAGTATTCAAAATTCATTAATTAACTCCTAAAGATTGAGTATTTTCTACAGCAGTATATACTTTCGCTTTGATGACTTTTGAAGAGATGTTGGGTTTACCGGTAGTGAAAGTACATCTCTAAGTACTAATGCTAACTGTTCGATATTTACTCATTACTCATGCACTGCTTAATTACTCAAATGTTTGGTCTTTTTTCAGTCTTGAAACAGCAGGACAAGAATATTAAATTTTGTTTGCCAAAATTCTTTGGCGTTTCAATGACTTTTACGCTTTGCATAAATTGATTTAAGACTGTAAAAAAATTCTGAGAAAAAGTGAAAGTTTTTATTTAAGAAGCTTGAAATGCTCGTGTTTGTGCTAAATAATTCTGAAATAACTTGCCTAAGAAAGCTTATGTGTAGTCATTGCTCAAATGCCCGACCGACTCAAAAATGTTTGAGCTCTACCAGGGACTTGCTGGATATCAGATTCTACTTATCGGCTGTAAGCTGATTATATAAAGCATCCACAATGAAGTCATCAGCAGACGAACGTAAGTAAAAGTATGTCGTTCGTTATGACTTTTAATGGGAAACTATTATTTTCATGTGAGATATATACTCAGTATGTCAATACGCTTCACCGAGAAATAATCTTTACTTTTCAAAATTATTTGTAAAATTTTAGATGTTTGCCTGGCCAAGCTATCAACCCTGCTATTTACTCGACTATAACTTCCGGCGACGAAAATTGGGAAAATGTACAGTGATAAACTAAATAATTGGCACAGCCAGATAGCTCAACTTTTTTTGACCCCCTATGAAATCACTTTTAATTCCAAAAAAATGCTAGACAGAGGGACATATTTTTAACAAGTTTAACTTCAATTCATATTATAATTTTTTTTTGTTAAATTAATTCTAATTATAAATGAAAATAAGTTCTAATTTTCACCTTACAAAAGTATTGGCACACGTCATAAAAACATTATAATAAAAAAAAAATTATAATAAAATGGTAAAATATTAATGAAATTAATATTTTGTAGTCAAGCTTTTATGTTTGATGACAGCTTCCAAACGCTTTTGCATCGATGAGACCAACTTTTGTATACAGTTTGACGGTCATCGGGTTGAAAGATATTGAATTTACTTTCATCCGAGAAGAGTACATTGTCGGAAAAGTACATTGGTTTGATTAGGTACTGCTTTGCATAGGCTAAATGTTGCTTTTGGTTCACATTTGAAATTAGTGGATTTGCTTCAAGGTACACGAGAATGAAAGTTAGCTTCATACATTGCTCGCCAGACATTGTTCGGCTGAGTATCGTTTCCCAACTCTTCCTTAACTTCCGCTGCGATTTGTGTGGAAGATAATCTTAGGTTTTGTTACCTTTCTTACTATTTGGCAACGTTCGCGGTTATTTCAAGCCTTAGGCCTGCCTGTACGTGATGCGTTTAGTAAAGATGGAACCCATCAAATCGTTGCACAATGTTGCTTATGATGTAGCGGCTTCTGTCCATCATTTTACCAATTTTTGCATGTGATTTGCGCTGTTTATGCAAATATAAAATTATTATCCGCTGAAATAAGTCACTTTTATTGCCACTAAGTTTTTGTAAAATTACAAAAAAACACTATAATTAAAGGCACTATGAGTTTGCAGTTTGATTTTTGAAAAAAAAAAAAACGCAATTGCTTAATAATAATAATATAACATAAAATATAATAAAATGAATTAAAGTGAAAATAGTTAAAGATGTGTCTAGATTTTTTTCGGAATTAAAAATGTTTTCAAAAGTGGTCAAAAAAGTGTTAAAGTTGAACTATCTTGCTGTGCCAAAAATTTAGTTCAGCACTAGATATAGTTACACATGGGACTAAGACTGCTCGCTGTCCACTTTCTAAATGTTTAGCTAGCGAGGATTCGATGAGCGATATTTACCTCAAAGCAAGGCCTACAAGCAGTTGTGTAAAGAATTTTTTTTTTGCAAACTCTAGTATTTCTTTGACAAATAACTAATTATTTAAGGACGAAGAATTATGTCCCGAACAATTTTGTTTTTATTTGCCATTTATATGAACTTGTCTGTCTACAAGGCATTAACTTCAGTAAATGTCATACAGCGCTACTCACACGCCACATGTGTTATATTGTAGAGTAAAAGAAATTTTTATTACAAAGCACATAATGCTCGTATGCGCAAAATGTCTAATGATAGCTTAAATCCCATTTAGACATAATGAAAGCTGTCACACATAATCTTAATCCCAAATTAGAGTTTGTTCTTTCATCTACATTCATGCAGTTGTAATTGGACATTTGTACATAATACATATGCCCATAAATATATGGCGGCCGTAATAGGCGAGTGGTTAGCAGTGCGGCCGTAATAGGCGAGTGAAATGCTCCGGTGCCAACAATATCAAAAATTTATAGAAAATTCATTTAAATAAAAAATTAAGTTAATTTTTCTAATTGTGGTCGGCAGGCAATATCCACCCCTCCGAGTGTATTTCGGACATGAAATAAAGGCTGCTCGTAAAAGAACCATCAGCCGTTAGGATGCGGCTTAGTATAAACTGTAGGTCCTTCCAATTAGAGGTGAAGCTCGGCCGAAAATCGCTTCAGCGATAAATATATATATATAGTTGGCGGTTTGTAACCGCTGAAGCGATTTTCGGCCGAGCTCCACCCCCAAATTCCTCCGGCAGGGAATGTAACTCTCGGAGTTTATATCTTATAAAGTTTTTACTATCCATAAAGAAACCGGTTTTTGGCGTCGATGATGGCTGATCAAGTTTAAGAAATGTAGGGATTGTATGAATAGAGTGGAGCCCGTAATTTATGAGTTTTCAGCAGGCCAATACTTTGGTTATTTGGTGCAAAAAGGCTACAGGACCTTCAATCGGCAATGTCGAAGGGATTAAAACCATGACTTCAATTTATGAAAAGAACAGAAATGTTCTTCACACTAACAACACAATAAAGTAGCAGTGCAACTTGGTCGTATGCACTATGGACGTAATATCGTCTATGTGAGATCCGATGTTCCAGCTAGTTCAACCTAATTTAACCTTTTAACTAATATGAAATATAAGGTTCTCATGAAAACCCATCGGACGTTCCGAGGCAGCGTACTCTATGTGCTCTATCATTTGCAAATATTGGATGAGGGGAGCTTGACCCAAAATCGCTTCCGGGGTTAAAAATCGTCAATTATAACTACATATATACATATATACTATATAAATATTCATTATATATATATTGTACATTATTACCTATTTTTGGAAATAAAATTATATATACAAAGAAAGTATATATAATATGTATGTACATTTATATGAATATCTATTTCATGCATTTATCTCGCATCAAAATACTTACGCACAAAAATATTGCTCATCAATGTTGCCGGCAAACAAAATACAATCACCAATATATCGGCAATTGCGAGATTGACAATAAAATAATTGGTAACCGTACGCATACGTGGCGCCCGCAACACAACGGCAATCACAAAGCTATTACCAACCAAACCGACCAAAAACACAGCAATGTACGCGAAACAATAGACAATTGTCATCGACAGCGAATGGCGATAGAGCACATCGAAGTCCGCGCTGCCAGGCTCCCAATAAACGGTATCATTATCAGATGTTGGCATCAACACTGTTGGTGGTGCAACTGTCTCCACGGCAGCGGTAAAAGTTGATGATGATGGTGAGATGTCAGCCAATAAATTGGCATAAAAGCTCGTTAAGGTTGAACCACTTTCGGTATCCGGTGGTATGTGACCGAGTAGCAGGTCTTCAGAACGCAATGCATTTGTCGATCCCGTGATCGTTGCTGTGGCAGTAGTCATTACGGGACCCAACAAAGTATCTACTACTAGACTGCTTGGCGGTGAGTTGAGATGTAAAGAGGTTGAGTTTTTCGTCAAAAGTGTTGAGAGGGCACCAGCAGGTGGTGGCATGTGTTTGTTGTTTAAATTGAGAGCAGCAAACGATGTGTTGACTTCATTTTGTGTCGTACCATTAACGGTATGTAACAATAGATCGTTATTCATTTCGGTGAATTGGTCTACATATTCGGGATTGAGTATTAAATCTAAAAAATCATTTGTCCTGTTTTCGTGTTCGTCAGCTAAGTTACTAGCATTTGCTATTGTTGTGGCGTCAATATCGTTAAATTGTTGCGTTTGTTGTAGATTATTGGTAGCGTCAATTGTAGGTTTCTGATTGATACTATCATACTTCGATGTGATGTCCAGCGTTCGTTGCCGTAGAGGTTTTAATAAGTTTGTCCCATTTAAGTGTTTGTACTTTTTTAGCTTCTGCAATATGTTCTGCGGATCGGCCGATGCGACCATCGTTGGAGTAATCTGTAGGAGAAGGAGAAGGAAAACGTTATTGAAAATAGAAAGCATAGTTTTTAATTACAATATATATGATTTTTTTTTTGTGAAAAGAAGTTTATTTAGATCACATATGTATGTACATACATAGGGTGGAGCAATAATCAGTCATGAGGGCGCCTTCCGCATGACGTAAGGAATTCGCCAAGTCATGGAAATCAAGAGTTTTTTAAGCGTCGAGATTATAAATTTCTCATCTACAGAAAAACAAATTCATCAGCTAAAATTTTAGATAATTATGCGTATTTTTGTAATAAATGATTTTCCAATAAGAGGTGTTACATTGAATGGTCTGCTGTTCCGGGAAATGTCACTTTTGAAACTATACTTTTTGGACATTGGACAACAACGCATTGAAATTACTAAAGTTCAGCATAAAAATGGTGAAAACCTGGTAGAGACGGTTTGTAAATCTAAAACATTTTTTTGGTATTGGTAAAAAATATGGATCTGTTGGCACAAGCTCGTAATGTTGCTGCTTTAGCCCAAAGTGTTGAAGAAAATCCAGTTTTGTCCTTTCCTATTCGTTCATTACACCCTACAGCTCGTTGGCTACCTCAATAAGCACAACTGAGGCATCTAAAGTACGGACAATCCTAGTTTTGTTTTTGAAAAGTCTTTCCATCGGCAATGTGTTATTTTTTCGAAAATGAATCAATTTTTTTATCGAGAGATGATTAATGATTTTTTATGTCCGGATTGCGATGATATTGTTCTGGACAACGTTTACTTTCAAGAAGACAGCACTACGGGTCACATAAACGACGAAACCATTTATGTTTTTAGTAAATAGTTTCCCGACCGTGTTATCTCTCAAAGATGTGATCGCAATTGGTCACCGAGCGACTTCCTATTTTGGGGCCATTTGAAAGATAAATTCTAAGTCAACGGGCCAAGGTCGATTCAAGACCTCAAAAATGGAATTCGTGAACCCATATAAATATTCAGAAGAACTATACGGTCCTGTAAGCGTAGCCCAGGCTGCCTCCTCAATGTCCCCTATAAGGTCATATCGAATGTGTTGTGCGAAAGACTAAAGCTCACTAGCAACAAATTGTTTGGATCTAAACCGTGTGGCAGGATAAGAAAGGACTTCTCCGATCCGTTCGATATCAAACGAGTTTTCAGAAAATATTTGTAATCATGACACTTTTTCCATTGGCAATAGTTGATTCTTTCTCAAGTACTGGCCATCAGATTACAGCCCCCATAGAAAATATAGGCTGTGACATAAAGCCAATGCACTATTTTGGGTGACATGCCCCATTTCCGGCCTTTCGCATCCTTTCCTCTGAGTTCTGTAACCAGGTTGATTTCCTATTCCAAATGAGTCCCAGGTTTTTCGCAGACTCAGCAATGGGCAGGTCCGTTCCTGAGATAGTTGGTGTTGTAAACTTGGGAATAATCTACCTCCTTGAAGAACGACTTCAGTTTTCTGTGTGTTGATGCGCAGCCCAGCATCACCTTGTGGGATTCCTCTGCTGACATACCTAAGTGCCGTCACCCTGCAATCTCAGATCTTACAATCCTGCATCTCAGCACTTGGCGTATAAAAGACATCATTCGTGGGTCGACGTACAGTCAAGTCAGGGAGGAAGTAAATGCATTTGGAGCTATATTCATAAAAGCAATTAGGCTGTATTCTTTGATCGAGATAGATATCTCAATATGTGATACTACCATGTGCAGCGCTGGCTCTGTGGATTTGGCCATTATTAGGTCTAATTACTTTGCTACTCTCGACGAACAAAGCGCATCGTTTTCGTCGTGCTATATGGTGCGGAAGCATAGATGATGAAAACACCTGAGGAGTTGATGTTAAGAGCTTTTGAGAGCCGATGGAACGATGGGCTGTACGAAATATAGGGCGACATTTATATATTCCAGGGAATCAAAAAACAGCGACTTTTCTCACTTGGTCATTTGGTCCGGTTGGAAGGGAATACTAAGCTTTGGAAGTTTTAAATGCAATACCCAGTGTAAGAGGAAGACATTCAATATGAAATAATGAAATGTGAAAAGAATGAATAGCGGGCTGTTATTAACCTGCAGAAAAAATTAGTAACTCCAATACAACCATACATTTCAGACAGACATTGGAAATGAAATATTTTTTAGATTTCATTAAACGCAAATCACTAGTTGACATATTAAACCAAGTTGTTATTAGTGGCGCTTGAAGCTAGCCTATATTTTAGAAATTATCAAATAAGAAATTTCCTTTTGTGAATTTTAGTTTTCAAATAAAAAAAGCGCTCAAAAGAGTTCAACACATATGCATGTAAATATATAACGAACAACTATTATAACACCACGAAAATTCTCTAAGAAAGTTTGACCCTGGACCCGATGAAGGTTAAGTGTAATATATATATATGTGTGCGCACTTCAACATAATGCATAACTGATGAGAAAATTAAAATAAAAAAATGCTTAATATTTACTTTTTTTATAACTGTATCTGTATTTTTAAATATTTATTTAAATATTAAAAATTTCATTGAAGTTCAAAAAAAAATGTAATTTTGTTATTGTTGTTATCGAATTGAATTTACCGCCTAACCGAGTGTGCTGATTACACAACAACCTTTTCCTGCCGCCTGTAGAACAACTCAAGGTCCTGCACTGCTATAGCTACCAAGTACTCTTTGCCCGAGGACCTTGTGCAGATATTCACGTTAAGGCCACCGTCCAGATTACTACTACATACGTATAAATACATATTCGTATATACATGCATATGTGCACATAGATATGAATAGGTATATAAGAATATGCAAGAATATATGTGCATATATGCACTTTACATATATTTTAAGTATTAAGCATAGTTGTTGTAGTGCAACATATGACTGAGTAGTAAGGCATCGTCTATATACATATTTGTTGTGATCGCGCTACATAGATACATATAATATAACACACACAAGTATAACTGCATATATTATATATGGACTTAAAAAATGTTTGTATATATGTTAACATGTAAAGGGCTTGAAAACCAATTTCGGTTTTGTTTTGAAGGTTGAAACTCGAAATTTTCACTTTTCACAAGGTTGAATTACCGTTGAAGGCGGTGTAGGCGGTGTAGGCGGCATAGGCGGTGTCGTTGCAGGTGTTTGTGTTTGTGTAGGCGTCTGCCTGCCTAGTTATGATATTACATATTATATGTAAGATTTGCACTATATGACATCTGTGCGCTGCTATTTATTAGACAACTGCTGTAATTTGAGACATACATACACACATACACGTACATGCTTATTTCCGCCGTATTAAATTCAATCACTGCAATGAAACACAATCTGCAATCAGCGTCGAAATTATCTACTTACTTAAGTGCTACTCTCGCCATCAACGAAAACTAACCAAATTACTATGTTTAAGTTTATGTATGTATGTATGTATGTATGTATGTATGCACATTTACGATGCTTAAATAGAACACTTGTAATTGTTGGTATTTATGGAAGAAGTGGCAGCGCGTTTGATGTGAAGAGTGCCCAAACTTTTACGCCTTCAAAAAAGACGTACACACACACATACACACATACACATATAGATATATATATATATAGTACAAAGAACAACAATAACATTTACGATAGCCGATGGTGCGATAAAAAGTTTAGTTCAGCAGACAACAAGGCGACCATATACAAACATACATGTATATATGTATATATGTATGTACATTTAACTGTCACACCAAAGGGAGAAAGAAACGCGTTTAGACGTTACGTTTGAATGCGTGCTGCGTGCTGCGTGCGGAGTTGTGCGTGAATTTAGCTCCTCATCATACCACTGGTGCCTCTGGGACTTTTTCGTTCACTAAATACAAATACAATAATAATATTTCAGCTGCTACTGACATGACTTTCGGACATTGAATTTATAACATTCAATTTATACGCATGAATATGCATGTTTGTGTATGTGTGTTTGTACGTAGGAGGATTGTGTTGGTTTATTTGTTGGGCCCTTTTTTCTTTAATTTCTACTTTTATTCTCCTTCTTAACGACATCGCTGTTGTCACATGAGTTTTGAGTAACTAGTTGTCTGGACGCAAAAGACAAAGCTCTTTAAAGGCATACAATAACAACAAAGAAACTAAAAAAAAACTCTCACTAAAGGTTTTATACCATTAAAGAAGTAAGATAGCAAATTTTAACTGCTAGATTGTCGAAGTTTATGGTGAAAATATAATTTTTGAGCTTTAATTTATATATATAAAAGGCCGCAAGGCCAAGCTCCTTCAATTTGTGGTTTTGCGTCTCTATGTTTTTCCAACTAATGGATGGACCCACAGTTTATACTAAGCCGGCTCCGAACGGATGGCGAGGAGCTTTTATTTCATCCCGTAAATACACTCGGAGGTGTTGGCATTCCCTGCCGAGAAGCGACCGCTTTTTGGATGTTGGTCGCACAGGGATTTGATCCCGAGCTTCCGAATGGCAGTACGCAATGCTAACCACCCGGCTACCGCAGCTCACATTACATACATCATGGACAAGCTGGAAACCAAATATGATTAATTTAGTTAACGAATTTTTGTAGTTACTGTTTTAGTTGTTTTTACTTGATTTTGAAAATTCACTTAGTTGAAAAATGGTGTACTAAGTTAATTTAACGATCAATTATGTATTTATTATGATCGAAAAAATATATAACATTGTAGGTACTAAACGCATGAGCTTGCAAGATCAAAGTTATCGTTTTTGAACAAAAAATTTCATTTCAGTTATTTGGTTATTTTTCGAAAATGTTAAATTATTAAACAACGTAACTAAATTTCATGCGTCAAGCTAATTAATTATCGAAGCAAAAGCTCAAAATCACATTTTCTAAAAATCAATTCCATTTACAGACAACAAATCATTTATGAATATGTATGAAGGGTATCAAAAGCATACTAGCGAATAAGTAAAGTAATAAAATGACAACAGTACAATTGTTTTATATTTGTTTTGTCTTATTGTAAGTGAAGAAGAAATATTTAGAGTAAAGAGAAAAAAAAATGAAAATAAATCGAACAAAAAATGTAATATCAAAAAGGGTCATGGGACTATTGTCGTCGTATAACTTTGAAAGTATTTTTAATAATACCCATGCGAGCCAGCGTATTAGACCTACTTGTACATATACATAACAGCAATAACTGAAAGGCATGCACACATACACACATTTGCTTTGAATTCATTCGTAAACTAAGTATTATAAATATGTTTGTAATCGCTTGCACTTTCGACCAATGGGTCACAAGGGTTGTGTGTTATAAAAACAAAAAAAAATTAAAAATTGATATTTAACCGTAATTAAGTGTAAGAAAGCATTCAAAAGAAAATATACATACATAGTATTGAAAAGGTCAAAGCTTTGACTTAAATGAGCTCAAAAAAATATTTGCACAATTTTTGCGGAATGTGACCTTTTTTTAAACTACAATCAATTTTACTTAATTATAGAATTTTTTTTTAAATTTTTTTTTTGGTTTTTTAAGTCTTAAATACTTTATTATTTTCCTTTATATTCATTTTACGCTTACTTTACTTTTATGTGGTTTACTAATCACTTTATACCCTTATTTTTATCCTAACAATACACCACAATTTGTATATACATATATATGTGCATACTCGTATATACGTGTACTCTGCTCGTCTGATTACTTAAGTCACAATTTCAATTGAGTTCCAGCAGCTACTCTAAAGAAGAAGGGTGCTCTTAATTATTTAAGCTCATTTGAATCCCTTTAGAAGCCTTTAAAGCTCACATGAAAATCAAGTTTTGAATTCAACCGATTTTATTTTCAAATTACCGTAATATACTGCACTGCACTACACTGCACTGCCCTGCACTTATGCACAAGAGTTGGTGTAATGAAGAGTTCCGAACAATGTATGAGTTGCCTTCAGCAATATTCACACACACATAGAGAATAAACTATTACTCCGGGTAGAACAAAGTTAAAAATTTTTCGGTACGTAAATTTATGTTGTATGCTCCATATACATATGTATGTATGTATGTTTGAATTTTTGCTTCACTCAAAACAGTGTTCACTTCAAGACTGTATTTATTTATTTATATTGTATTTATTTATATTTTGTTTGTTTGTTGTTATAACTGGCAAGTTAGTTCATTCGCCTGACTACTTGGCTTTTACGTGAGTGTTTGTGTGTGTGGGTATTTTTTTGTATGTCCTTTCGTTTTAGTGTCGTTTGTCTTTGATTTAATTCCATTGGCGAACTCTATTGTGTTGTTAACGGTTTCGTGTTCAAAGCCATACTGTTGTCAAACATTGTGTGCCAGCATATTTCCTAGTCTCAAATATATGAATTAACTTGTCCGAGCATGTGTATGGATGTATGTATGTATGCATGTGTACATCGAGTGGCACAGTTATGCCATCGTAGCCAAATACGATACGAAACTTTACGACCCAAACACTACCCACCCTCAACAGCCCACGAACTTTTGGCAAAAGAAACAGCAACAGCAACAGCAACAGCAACAACAACAACAACAGCAACTCGTCCACCTTTCTATCATAGCTGTTTCGAAACACTCGGTTCGCTCCAAATTGCTGCTCATGAGCCTTCAACTCTCAACGTTCGCCAGCTGTTCGTCTGTATGTATGTATGTATGTACAGTTGGTGTTGAGTTGTGAATGTAGGTCCTTTATTACCTTACTGCGCGCGCTCTCACTCACTGTGCTCGTACTCAACACTCGGCTGTGAGTACTTTTACGTATTTTGTTGCTTTAGACGTTAGCGCCCAACTATCGTCCTTGCTTAGCCTGCATTCATGTTTATTGGTATGTGTCTGCGAACGCTACTTTTATAGTGCTTGGGGCATATATTTAGATATTGCCATATCTTTTAGCTGGTATTTTTCATGTTCAAAGTTTGTAAGATCGGAACAATATTTTCGGCATCACTCCTTTTGAATGTGATTTTAAAATTCTTCTTCTTCTTTTTTATTTGTACAGATACCACCCACGAAAGACGAGGCTTGAGGTTATGACTGTTTGTTTGATGACAGAAGGTATTTCGGCTCGTTTTGCTTCACTAACAGCCTCATACGCTTCGCTGCCTTATGTGGTCCGGAGAAAGTAAAGCGAAAGAAGTCACACGATACGCCACTCTTTGGTTTCTCAGGCTCGGGTATTTCCTTCACGATGCTAATTGAGATTTTAGTGCTGCTGGCAGGCATCTTACATTAGGGGTTTTAGTTTTGCGGAGATACCAAATTCATGCATTGCGGCGTAGCGGAAGTTCTTTTAGTGCTGTGAAAGGAAGTTGTGTGACGATCCTCTTTTCACGGTTTTTTTCTACAATTTAGCGCATGCCCCACTGAAGAAACCCAATCAATTTGTTGACGGTGGCCTTTAGTCTTTCACACTGTAAGCTCGATAGGACCTTATATCGATACTGAGGAGGCTTATCCCATGGAAATTGTGGTGGCCAGCTTCTTAAGCTTTTAATATTCAATAGTTTGGCTTGCAGCTGAACGTAGAGTGCTTGAAATGCCGTTCTACAGTTACCCTGTACCCTATTGCTATTGAGTGCTATCACAGATCAGAAGTGTAAGTCGATGGGCTATCTAATTGCGGTCGTACTCGGCAGGGATTAGGCCGATCGGTAGTGACTTAGTATAAACTGTGGGTCCATTTGTTGGAAAAACATCAAGACACTCACCCCGAATTGGAGGAGAAGCTCGCTTAAAAATGACCTCAGTGGTTTCACAATGTCCAATGATATACCGTATTCAGAATGTGTAGACTAGAACTACACCCTCGGGAACTGGTCTACAAAATCTAATTTCTATCATAACATAACAATTTATTACTGTGATTTAACAGCAGACGAACTTTATATAATACTCTACCGAAGTAGCTCATGTGGTAAATATCCTGTAGTGTGGCCTAACTCTGAGTGGAATACCTTCCTTAAAAATAAAAATCCTTTAGTGTTTAAATAAAACTAAGCGCAGTGGCAACATGTCCAATGAGTGTATTTTGATTTCTACATTCTACTCATACAATAATTTATTCTTTGCTACCATTGATGTCCCTCAACTGCAATGACAAACTTTAGACACCAACCGTTACACTCGACGCACTCACTCTCTCTCTCTCTCACTGCTATACACTTCTTCAACTTGCTCTTCTGCAACCTTACAGCATAAATTAGCTCGAAAAAAAAAACAAAGTCCTCAACGACTACAAAGTGGATGTGCCTGTCAGATCTAAAAAGTAGTACAAGATGTATGTAGATACATGTAAGTGTATGTCAAATTGAATGAAGCTACATACATATGTACGTATTTAAATACTATGAATGTGTTCATATATACCAAGAGCATTTATATGCCTCCTTAATCAGCCTATGAAGAAATAAATTCTAAAAAATTAGCTATTATCGTTCTTGAATAAAAAAATTAATTTATTAAAAATAATATTATCACCGGATGTTCTTTTTTCCTTACAATATTTTTTTTTTTTTTTAAGATTAAACATATACTCGTACTCCAGTATTAAATAGATAATCGGAAAACGAACCACAAGTAGAGCGGAGGTCGGTGTGATATTTTAACTCAATGAGGATTTTCGAGGTATTTTCACACTTTTACTAAAAAGTCACGAAAGTTATGATTTTCATTCCTACAGGTCCACTGACAACCATCGGCATTGGTTGTATTGTAAAACTTTTGCCATTCTTAGCAAAGTAAATAAATAAAAATTTAATTTTTTGCATTCTTTTAGGCGCCTTTGCCTACATATTCGATATCAATGCATGGGGTAAAAAGTAAAGGTGTAGGCAGATGCAGCAAGTGCAATGCTTTCAGAAAGCAGTAGATGAATATTTTTGAAAAGTAAAATCTAAAATTTACAAAGCTCTTTTAGATTGTTTATCAAAATTCTCTGTATGGCTAAGTTGATACACATGTCCTCTTCGTTGACGTTGAGCGCGATCTGTTGTTTACTTGGGTTTTTTTTTAACATTATCAATGTTGGCTGCGAAATTTCGCGATACCTTACAATTATAATATTATTTTTGGAAAGAGAAAAAAGTAAGCCGGAACAGAAGTTTCGACCAGAAATTTGTTCACCTTGATAGCTTTGCTCTCTAAAACGACACACAACCCTCAAATCAAATTTTTCATATACTAATTAACCTTCAGGTAAAATATCCAAGTGCAAAACGCTGCAATAATCAATGGAAACAGCCCATTCAAAATTGATTGGCTTTTTCGATTTCGGTTCAGTTGAAACCACCATTCCAAAGCTTGTTGATTGGTTTGCATTCAATTCTTCTTCTTCGCCGTAGATCTTGGACAGCTCTTCATTCCATCAGTAAACTTTTCGTCGTAGATGCAGCCTCTTGATCTTGGTATGTGTCGATCATCTTTTCACTGATCTTTTCTAAGATTTGGCGCAAAGGTGCATATCTCATCAATAATAGATTTACCAGGTTCATTCCACGGTAATTGACGTAGACTGTGGGATATTGTGGATTGGGCATATCACCCTTAGCCTCGAGCATGCTTTCTTCTGACCATATTCTACAAAGAAGCTGATGCTTGCTCCTTATCAGTTCTTCTCCGGCGAATTTGAATAGTTCATCCGGCAACCTATCGCCCCTACCTCTCCCACTCTCTTCTTTTCAAGCTAGAAATTACAATTCGAACTTGATCATTGTCGGTAAAGGAAACATCTGTACCATCGCCATCTCATGGTTTTCATTTTTTCACTGCCATTCAGCAGGCTGTAGAACTCACTCGCTGGATCACCTCTCTGAGTCCTACAAGAGTTGTGCTTGTTTATTAATTCTTGCCTGAGTAAAAGAGTTGTCGAGAAAAGTTCTCTTCAAAATTAAAGTTTATAGGACGAATATTTTTTTGATTTCCGTGTTTAAAAGGATTTTTGCATCAAGGAATTCCTTTCAACAGGTCAAAATGATGTTGGGAAAATACATTTATGATCAAAAATGTATATTTTAGTTTTTAGACTTTCAAAAAGTGTTTTGCTTGCCGCATATGTCAGCACCCTAATTTGTTATGTGAATTATTGCCAAAGCCTCTCACACAAACGCTCGCCTCCACCACTTGCATGAGTGCTGGTGTTGAAAGTATGATAGAAACACACGTTTATACATTCACCTTAAGGACATGCAGACACGATGACTCGGACGAGGAAAAGAGCCATTCATTGACCTCAAACCTTACCCCACCAACTAAAATGTCATAAACGCATTTTCAATAAATAAACCATTATCAACCGTTAACCATTCACAAACACAATAAGTAGTATTCAACTTTTTCAACTTGTACGCCATATTTAGCTTAGCTGGCGGGCATTCCATTCCCTGCGTAAGTTTGTATTCTTAAGCAAGTCAGCAAAAGTGAAAGTATGCGAATGTACATATGTATGAATGTACATACATATGTATGTCTGTGTTAGTATTTATGTTAGGCCAAACTTGTACTTACCCAGCAGGGGAAAAACCAAATAGTATGCAAAAATCCTAGTTAAATACTAGTATTTTGAAATCATGAAATCATACCAGCTTGTTTTTGTAAAGAAGCCCACTAGCAACGGGAGAAATAAATAATAATTTCCACCACCGTTTGTTGTTTTTATAACGGTAGGCTGCGATGGATTACATTCCCTGCTCTGTTCTATTGAAGTGGGCAAAATGACGTTGGTCGAGACATCGTCAGACTGTCGACTGCGTAAAATTTATCGTGCATTGGGGTCCTGGTTCGAGTCCCACTACAGACAAAAACTTTTTATTTCAATTTTCTTTTTTTCTTCTTTCTTTTGGGGAACCGAAAATTTTCATCACGCCGTCATTCGTACGTTGTTGTTGTTTTTAGCACGCCACGGCTGAGTTTCATTACCAAAAAAAATTCTGTTGAGCTGCGCAGATTTCATTGCTCTCTATATTATAACCATAGCCTAGTGGTTAGAGGTCTTCAGTATGGTGCATGAGGGTTTCGGTTCGATTCTCGCTGTCGGCAAACTCATTTTTTTGTGATGAAGTAGAAATTCAACATGCCTAAGTGAATTAATATACAACTAGTATGAAGCTGATGCATAGTCGAACAATTTTCAGCTCGTAGGACATCGCCGTGTTGATTACATGGATAATGAATGGAAGATGAACTAGTCGGTGTAAAAATGTAGACTATTTGGATTCTAGTTGACAACTAGTATTTTACCTTGTAGGGAGTGCTTACTCATACCAAGGACATTATGGCATATCCCTAATGGTTTATTACACACACGCACAC